AAATATGATGAGTTGAAAACATGTGTGATTATATAAAGACATTATTATAATTCTTGTATGCAAACGCCAAATTATATTTTCAATTTATAACGTCTAAAAATTAAAAATAAAAAAAAATTTATCGAAATTTAACTAGTTAATCGTGAAAAATGAATTATCCTTTCATTTGTTTTATTTTCAAAGTTATATCAAAATCGATGTCAATAATGTCAGTTTGTTGGTTAAAATAGTTAATATCAAAATTATTAAGTAAACAATTTAATTTACAGAAATAAAAAATTAAATGCTAATAAATAAAATATATAATAAAATATGATAAAATATAAATAATTTATTTTTGATAATTAAAAAATTAATTATTTGTATTTTATCATATTTTATTATTTAAAATGTTTTGCACATATTTCAAATAATATATATAAAAAAACAAAGAAATGCCATTTTTAATTATAATTTCCAGAAGAAAAATAATATTTTCGTTTTTGGCTTTTAACTCAAACGGCATTAAAATAAAATGAATCACGCAAGAAGATAATTGTTCTTGAATATATTTTAAAGAAAGTAAACCATAAATAAAAGGTGTGCTTGCTATTTGGAAAATTTTCATCTTGATAAGTAAAAATCGGCCGGTTCTGTGGATTTGCCCATATTTAGAAATGTGTCTGTAAATTTTAAACTTGATCCGGTGAAAAATAAATGAGATATACAGAACACTGCAGCGGCGCGTCCCGTGGCTTCAGACAAGGTGGCCAGCCATACCTGACCCTAACGACAGATGGCCTTTTCCTATGATTTAGAAACGGCAACCACTGCGGAAGAGTTATTATATGGTCCAGGAATCGATGACTCTTTGTAAATTGGAAACAAAATTTCTTCTGAACAAATAAAAGTAAGTTGAAACTTTGAATGCGTTTTTCTCAAAATGACATTTTCCAAGTCGGTGACCACGATTACTCGAATACCATGAAACCGATTTATTTAAAATTTAATGTGCTTCATTTACACATATAAGTCTAGTTCGTGATCGAAGGATTTTTTTTTTATGCAAAACTTTTTTTTATATAGCTGAAAATCGACCGTATTTTTTTAACGAAAATTATACTTTTGACTTTGACAGGTCGCCATTTTGTCAAATTTTTTTTTTTTTTTAAATCCTTCGATCACGAACTAGATAATCTTATAATAAATATAAATCAATTTCATTTTTGTATTTCAGACGAAGTATACTTGCAGAATGCTGGTCACCGCAATTCGCCTTTTTTCTTAAGGCGCCACTTCAATGGCTCATATCTCTAAAAGTTTTTGTTACAAAAATTTTTTTTTCTTTTAAATTACAGCTTTTAACATGTACTTTTAACTAATAAATAGTATTCTTTAAAAAGATTCATTGTTCTTTTGGAAAATTTTCTTGTAAAAAGCATTATTTCTTGAGTTACACCTGGTGTTCCCCCCTTAACTTATATTTTTTAGTTAAATGATTTGAATATTCTATTCATTTATTGTTTTTAATCTATTTTTTGTTTTTTTCGTTACAAAAAAATTGACCGATTAATTTTTTTAGATCCCCATTTGTTACCGCTGTTAAATAAAACAATGTCTTCGTATCTGGTATGTATTATTTAAATATAATTTTTTTTCTTTTTATAGGACATTTTTTAAAAAATAAGTAATACATTTGTTTCATTTTAGGAAACTGTTAGCAGTGATGAAGAAATGGAAGATTGGAGAATTAAATTTGAAAAATTTAAGAAGGAGGAATACTTCAAAACACACAATGTGGCCAAGAAGTACTCTGAAAGTAAGTTTTTTCTCATTTTTATTAAAAAAACGTTCAAATGAACGAAAAACTTTTTTTTTTAATTTACATAAAATAAATATATAATGACATATTATCCTGAGGTAAAAATATAAGTATTGTTTACAAAAATGCTCTATAAGAATTAAAATTAACACAGTTGAGTAATAATAAAGTCGATGTATATAAATTTAAAGATGTGTTAAAGAGATCAATATTTTTATATTTATGTTAAAAAATTAATTTTTTTAAAATTATTAATTCAAAATAAAAAGGGGTATAATGTTCTACATAAAAAAAATTAAAAAAAGTGAATATCTACAATATCTACAATATTATTACTTGGTCTGGCATATTTTCTAACACAGTTGAAAGTTTTTAATAGTTTATAATTATCTAATGATGCTGAAATATATATAAATATATATAAACTTTGCGTCTTTATTTTAAATAAACATAATAGTAAAATGGAATATTAATCAAATGAACACTGAGAAGGGAATAAAAGTTTTGTCTTTAAATGAACCATTTCCGCTGACCTAACAAATTTCTTCTTAGACATTTGGTCATCAATGAAACGTGAAAGAAGACAGTAGATTATATTCAGAATTTTTTTATTAATTTTTTTAAAGTTATATTATAATAAAATATTAATTAATTAATTATTTATTTCAATTTTTGTATTTATAATTATTAATTTATTTAATTATAAATAAATAGTAAATTTATTTAATAATTTATTTCAATAAATATTTAAACTATTTTTGTTTATTTATTAAAATAGATTGTATGTTAACTAAAAAAGGTATACTTACTATAGAATTTATAGACAAAAAAATGTTCTGATAATTTTCTTAATAGTTCAAAAAGTAAATACAAATGTTTATTCTATACTATATATATATGTATAGTGCAAATATTGTTATCGTACATTAAATTAGTTCTACTTTTATAATTATCTTAAGGGTGATCTAAATAAAAAAATTTTAATGTTTCAGTTGTTAATGAAGAAAAACAAATTAGAAAAATTGAGAAATTAAAAAAAAGGAGAAAGAAATAACAGACTTTTTAAATAAAGAAGAAGAAAAGAGAAAACTAGAAGATTTGAAAAAAAGAGAAAGAAGAAATGGAAATTAAGGAAAAAGAAGAAGATGAATTGAAAGAGAAAGAAAAAAAAGAACTTAAAAAGGAACAAAAAAAAGAACTTAAAGAGAAACAAGAAAAAGAACTTAAAGAAAAAAAAGAAAATGAATTTAAAGAAAAACAAGAAAAAGAAGTTAAAGAAAATCAAGAAAAAGAATTAAAAGAGAAACAAGAAAAAGAAGAGGAGGAAGAAAAAAAAATAGCAGAAGAAGAAGATGTAGAAGATGAGGACGGGGACAGAAAAAGAAAGTCACGCATAGAAACACCATTTTCAATCGTCACTAAGAAGGGAAAGAAAGCGGAAGAAATAGGAAAAGAGCAAGCGAAAGAAGGTTTGTGTTCACATGAACCAAAAGTTTTAAACATTCAAATAAACGAAATTTTTTTGATTTAATTTAATAATTGTTTACTTTACTGTTTGATTTTACATTGACATCAAAATTTTTTTAAATTTATAGATTGAAAAAAATATTTCGTTTATTTGAACGTTTAAAACTTTTGGCTCCTTTCAAAGTTCAAATACACGGTGAGCTTCGTTTTGGTTCAACCTAAACTGCATGACCCTTCTCAGGTTTTTTTTTATATCAATTCGGTGATGCCTCACGATCATTTTAAGACGAAAATTAAAATAATCGTTGGAGGGAAACTCAAATTATATTGATTTTTAAATTTTTTTTCTAGATTATTGAAGATATTTTCATTAAAATACCGTTTGGTAAAATACTTATTGCTTTAAAAGCTACAATTTAACATAAAAATAGATTATATATAATAATTAAACCATTTTGATACATAGAATTAAGAAACTGTTTAAAAATAGTCGAAAAAACTGAAATTTTTCTAATTTTTTAAACTTTACTCCTTTATTTAACGTTATTTCAATAAAGTCATGTAGAAGTGAATTAAAGTACATAAAATTTCCTGTAAATCAAAAAAAAAACTCTTCTATCTATTATTGTTACAAAAATATGGTCATTTGAATTTTAAATTTAATGGATAAATAGTTAAAATTTACCATTAGGTCTAGATTATTTGGTAAAATTGTTTTCGCAGAACCTCATCTCAATTCCATAATTAAATCGCGCTCTTTGTGAATACAACGGCCTTCACGCATTTTAAAAATATCGTGGTTGTTACCAAATATTTGTACCTTACCATTTACTTTTTAAAAAAGTAAATATTTTAAATATGATTATGTTGCATTTTTCAAAATAAACGGATTTTTAAAAACTACTCAAATCTCTCTTATAGAAATAGACATTCTTTAAACCAATGTAACTTTCGATGTAAGTGAGATAAATCAGTTTTTTCAATTTGAAACTGTTCAAGATTAAACCTTCTTATACGTATTATATTCTGGAATTGAGATGAGGTTCTGCGAAAACAATTTTACCAAATAATCTAGACCTAATGGTAAATTTTAACTATTTATCCATTATATTTAAAATTCAAATGACCATATTTTTGTAACAATAATAGATTATTTTAATTTTCGTCTTAAAATGATCGTGAGGCATCACCGAATTGATATAAAAAAAAACCTGAGAAGGGTCATGCAGTTTAGGTTGAACCTAAACGAAGCTCACCGTGAATAGTTTAAATGAATTAAAATTTTTTTAACAAAACATGATTTTGCGTTTTGTACGTTATTCAAAATTTTCAAATTTTTTTCATTTTGTTTAATTAAAACTTTTCTTTTTCAATTTCAAAATTTTTTACTTTTTCTAAGAATTTAATTTATTAAATTCACTATTTTTCCCAATTTATTGTCAGTTATCTTTTTTTTAATTTCTGAATTCATCAATTATTTACATTTTTTTAAAATTAATGTCATGAATTTTTCAGTTAAAAATGCCATTATTCTCAATGGCTTGTACAAAAGATATAAAGAAGCAAACAAAACAATTCAGGAGACAAGTGTCGTTTTGAAATCCTGCAAAGTCTGCAGAGTGCCTTTGGCGAAAAAATCTGATGCAATTAGAGAAAGGAGATTCTGCGAAGAGGCAATCAAGACAATCGAGGCGTCATTTAAATAATGAAATATTACATAAAATTTTTATTATTCATTATCTTCATTTTTGCTTCCGGGTGTCAATTCCCAACATCTGGCTATTAAAGGTATGTTTCTTTTCTTATCATTATTAATATTATTAAAGTTTAACGACTTTTTGTATTTCATAACATTTTTTATTTTCCAGGGGAATTGAGAAAAGTAGCAGCAGGCATTGCCCGATACATTTTTCAAGCAAAACTTACTATGTATTTTAATTTTAAAAAATAAATAATTTTTTACGTACAATTTTAATTGTCATTTTTTTAATTAAAATTCTCTTCAATAAACAGTCAAGTAAATTGAATCACTAAAATAAAAATTCTAGCAAACAATTATTTGGTAGCTTAACATTCTGTTACATAAAAATGAGCCAAAAATTCTGAACGTTCAAATGAACGAAATATTTTTTTCAATCTATAAATTATTAAAAATCATGATGGCCAGGTAAAATAAAACAATAAATTAAACAATTATTAAATAAATTACTCCTTTTTAGATATTTGAAACAATATTTCATAATAAAATTCGTAGTTAAAAAAATTGCAAAAAATTCGTATAAAAAGAAAAACCTGTTAAATGTTAGTTGGAAAATTGAAAATTCGTCTAAAAAATAATTCCTGTTACACTTTTAAATAAAAATTCTAATTCATGATTTTTACATGAAATTTATTCGCCTTGTATTTTTCATGTATTTATTTGAAAAAATATTTTCGAAAAAAATGTACTTTGATAAATAAAATGATAATAATTGAAAAAAAATCTTCTATGCTTTCTCCATATCGATATTCATTCAATTAAATTTTATGTGATACGAATTTTTAAATGACAGAAATTTTAATTTATTGAATTTTAATTGATAGAATTCAATGAATTGGAATTTCTGAAAATTAAAAATTCGAATCACATAAAATTTGATTGAATGAAAAATCGATTTAAAATAAAATTCTTTTCAATAAACAGTCAAGTAAATTAAATGACTAAAATAAAAATTCTGGCAAACAATTATTTGGTATCAATTTTTTCATATTTTTTTGAATTAAATTTTTACCTTTTTATTTTCTTTCCGAAAAAATAGTATTATTTCCTTAAACTGTCATTTTTTATAACGTTTAATTTTTGTATTAATTATGAATTCTTAAATTAACCAATTAATTGCAAAATTTCTAAATGTAGGCTAATTTTTTATTTATATAATGAAATTCTGCATACTGTATACCTTTCATTTTTGTATTTCCGCGCCCTCTGAAATGCGCATGTCTGAAAACTTTAGCCCATTATACTGCCATCTAGATTGTCTGGATATTTGCCTATATTTGGATATTTCTCATTTTATTGCAACGGCCACTTAAGCGAGACCACGTGCTTCGTGCTTTTCGGTTAACTTTGTAATTAACGAAACTTTTAGATTTTTTATTAAATTCTTTTTTTTTTATTTTTTTTTGTAACTTTTTAAATAACTCTTCAATTTAAATAGAGTGCACCGATTAATAATCGGATTTGGCCGATCATCGTCCAATAAGTTGATTTGCGATGGATTGTGAAGAGCCTGTATATTCGAAATTTGAGTCAACTGATATTTCCGTCATCAAGGAATTACCGTCTGACGGATTTTGGGCAGTTACTTCAAAGGTATGTAAATATTTCATGTAAAAAAATTTCTTTTTAATAATAATAATAAAATATACGTAAGATTGAGCTGAGGACTCGAACACTTTTAAAAAAAATTAAATGTGTTCGTATTCCAACACGAACAATTTTGAAAAAATCATATATTTTTTTTCGTTCCTAAATAAAAAACTTTAATAAAATATTGATCCTACGCCTTTTTCTGTCTTTCTGCCCGAAAAATGTATAATGTATTCTACGCAAAATCGGATGTACATTTATTTATTGTACAAAATTTAGGGCTTACGGCTTAAAAATCATATTTGAAATAAATTAACAAACATTATGAAAAAATTGTTTTATTTTGTACATTTCATTATAATAAAATATCAGACCAATTTTTAAAAAATAGAATGAAATTGCAAAAAAAATTTGGACTTCAAAAAAATTGTTTTTTTTCCATTTCAGAAAAAGAAAGAACAAAAAAATTGTAATTTACCGCTTGTGATTATATATGTTGATTGAACAATCTGGAATTTAAATGCTATGAAAAATAATTTAAGCTTTCATTAAAAAAAGAATTATAATATCTCGGATGTCGCTTTTTTGTCACAGAATAAATTTATTAAAAATTTACTCCTACTTTCAATCTCTAACTTTTGGAAAAAAATTATTATTTAGAGAAATGTTTTTCTTCCTTTCTACTTTAATAATTTTTCACTGAGTATTATAACGTAAATTAACTATAATTTTGGAGAAAATAGAAGTTTTCTTAAATTGTAAAATTCGTTTATTCAAAAATAGTTTTTCGAAATTCAAAATATCACATTTCTGTTTGTTACTAATTTTTATACAATTCAAATTTCAAGATTTTTTTTTAAAAAAACGACGACTTTATTAAATTTTTGTCCAAATACAAATTTGGCGATTTTAAAATAAAATTCGGCCAAATAAAAATTTTATTAATTAAAAATATTGTTAAAAGTATAAATTTGCTTAAATAAAAATTTGGTTAGAAAGCCATTGAACTATGTGCGAAATCTATTAAACCATTGCTTATGTCCGTTTCCCATGGTTCAGAATCATGTTCATCAAGATTTCAACCTTGGCTTGAAAGGTATGGCAAAAAAAATCATTTTAGCAAAAGAAAGAAATATTTTTTGCCATTTTTTAAGATTTGAACCTTGGCGGTAAGATTGCAAAATATGGCTTAAAGATAATATCATTTTTTTGTAATTTTTTTTAAATTTCAACCTTGGCAGTAGGCTTGTGAACTATCGCTAAAGTTTAAATCTAGAAAAAATCTCAAGAAAAATAATTTTTTCATTTTGCTATAGTTCGCAAGCCTATCGCCAAAGTTCAAATCTTGAAAAAATTGTAAAAAATGATTTTTTCTTTTTGCCATAGCTTGCAAGCCTACCGCGAAAGTTCAAATCTAGAAAAAATCACTAAATATCATTTAAAATTAAGAGTATGCTTTGGCTGTCATACACTGTATCAGTTATCCTATTACTACTCCATGTAAATTTTAAAAATCTAATTTTAAATTTATAATTATCAAACTAAAAAAATCACATCTCAAGTTTGTATTGCATTAAAAATTTTATAGCCTATACAAGCCACCATTTTGTATTTTTAAGACTTGACTTCAGATTCGTAATCAGTGACACCAGAAACCTCCAGATAAGAAATTGCAAGCAACCTGTCGATTTTCAAAAATTTTTTTAGCGTATGAAATCCGAAATTTTTTAACCTAACCTAACCTTTTAAGCGGAATAATTTTTTTAAAAGTTGCTTCCCAACATAAAGTATAAAAAAAATCAGACAAGTGCAAGTTTCACTTGCATCAAAACCAACAGTTTCATACACCAATATTGTTGATTCAAACAGCTACATTCTAGCACCACATTTGAACTAACTTAAGCGTGACTCGGTCAGTAGCACTCCATGTGTTTCAAATTATTTTTTTCAGGCAGCTGCTTGTCAGGACAGGCGGCTTCCATAAATGATGTCACAGGATTTTCGAACTTTTTCGACCCCCCCCTCCCCTATGTCACAATTTTTCAGACCCCCCCACCCCTATGCCACGTCACAATATTCAAAACAGTTATTTTTCATGAAAAAAATCTTTTTTCAATAAATAGAAATTTAGTTACTGTAAATAATCCCTCAACTAATGAATTTGCTTATTTTTCAAGCATTTTTAAGGCAAATATACTTGCAAAAGAAAATCAGGACAAAATTAATAATAATTGCGCACTAATTGTATTCTGAATTTTCACAATTGTATTCGAAAACAAATATTAATTTTTATAAGTTTTGATTACATTATTATTATTTTTAGAGCTATAAAAATAATTCTTATAAATTTTGTTTTAAACATAAAACTAACTATAACTATAAAGGTTGAGCCATGAGCTTACTTTAGAATACACATAAATGCAAAGTGCGAGAACTGTGATCGCACATAATACACAATGGTAGAAGAATAATTTACGTAGGCAACGTACTGACTTACGTTCTCGGCAGGCAGTCGAGCTGGGAGCATACCTTAAGGTGATGCAAGATTCAGATGCGCCGAATCAAAAAACGGCGCGCTTTATGAAAGATATTTAAATTTCACGAAGTAAAAAAAATTGATTTCTTTAGTTAAATGAAAGTTACTTTTAAAGTAAATTCATGATGTCACAGTTTATGAAACACCCCCCCCCCTCCCCTGTCACAAACTGTCACAATTTCGTAACCCCCCCCTAAGCCTGTGACATCATTTATGGAAGCCGCCAAACAAGGCGGTCTGACTAATTATTTCCATAATGCTTAGTATAACAAGTTAAATTTTATAATTTATACTTCTAAAAAATGTAAAATAAAGTTTGCAATTTAATAGTATGAAGTATAAAAATGATAGTTTGGAGCTTTCAGTCAAATACAGTTCTTTGCGTTTTTTCCTTTTAAAGAAAATTTAATATTTTGCAAAATGTATGATTATTAAAAATAAATAATATTTATTTACTAAAATTACCTAATTCATGAGAAAATATAAAAAGATTTTCTAAGTTTTATTTTATTTATTTGCAAATTAAATTGAATATTTTTTTAACCCATTAACGCCCATGCTTAGAGACATGTAAATATATGAGAAAATTCAATATTGGATACATGACTGCGGCCCAAGTCATAACTTTTGACGTTAAAAATTGTTTTAAAAAAATTTGTCTGAACTAATTGTAATAAACAAATTAACAAAATTGATGTATTTTTACTCTAAATCTGAGTGAGTAAAATTTCACTGACTCGCCAGTGTATTTTCACTCATTTGAGTAAGTGGTATAATTATAACTGGTTACTTAGTGAATTTTTACTGCTCAATCAGTGTATTTTCACTGATTTGAATAAGTGGTATACTTATCACTGATTCAGATTAAGAAAGTAAAAACTAACGATGCTATTTGATCCTACAGAAAAAATGACTTAATAAAAGTGTATGACTTTTTTTAAATTTTCATTTTATTTGTTTATAACAATTTGTTTAAACAAATTATTTCGCATTCATTCATGTTTTCAATATTGACTTTGCTAATATTCACGTGTATCTAAGCAGAGGCTTACATAGATGCATCACAGTCCATTTTTTGTTTATA